TCTTCTACTGAGTGATTCACATTGCGCTGTATTTTCCGACTACACATTGTATGCTAAGTAGTGCAGGATCCTAAGCCTTGCTCTATCTGTTACGATTCGATTCCTACAGCGCCGTATGAGCAGCCCACTATTAAAAAGGCTCCGTTAAAATTATGGAGCGCGCCTGGCGAAGCCGAGCTAAAGAGAAGGAGGAGAGCTCGGCGTTAGCCGGGCGATCCGACTGGTGTTTTCATAAAGCAGTAGGTTATGAATGAGAACGCATACACCTCCTCCTTTTCTAGCTATCCTGTCCTTTCGAATGATATTGTAGGGGAGATTTGAACAGATTTCGGAATCAGAGACTGAACTGCTTAACCATGATTCGGTCACAAAGGCAATACAAGGTTTAACGCTACTTAGAAAGCAATGAAAGATGAAAAATTTTGTTCGCCAAGCTTCTAGCATTTAGTAGTGTACAGGTGGGGGTCAATGACTTGTGCTTGGCCCAGGGCGTATGGGAAAACCCCGGTCATTTGAATGAAAATTTCTAGCTTGGCGGTGGGTATGTCCGTCACTTTGGTGAGTTCTCCTTTATAAACGACGTAAATACGCTCACCGTTGTGCTTCTTTTGATTGAGTTCACGTGCTCGCCTGCGTAACTCCTTGTCTTTCTCGCGCTCTTCTCTGGTCATTGATTTTCTTACGAAAATATCCTTATACATTGGAACTGTGCGCAAGGACTTCGCTCTCGATAGTATATCAAAGCAGTGCCGACGAGATGGAAATAGGCATTTTACAAGTCTAGGTTTTCCCTCGACAGCGTTGCCGATCCTATGTATCTCCACAGGACGCGTTTCGATGTCGAGAGCGTCCAGCAGGCCAGTAACGACTGATTCAGTGTATGCCTGACGCGAAGAAGCCGGTAAATGCTTATCTGGTTCAGGAACACCGAACAGAATCACTGACCGCTGGCGCTTTTCTGCTTCTGCGAATTCTTTGGGAAAGTTTGATAACTTACTCAAAAGTTGTTCCAAGAGAGGTAAGACTTCGGGAACCTTGTTGGTTAGTATATCCTTTATCTTGTCCAACAGCTGGCCATTTTCATTGGGTTAGGAGCGGCGAGGTAGAATTGTATTGAACATTCGTGACATTCGTAGCTGGTGATGGAATGACATTCTTCTTTTTGGTAGAGTTCGGTGCCTTAGGTGAGACCATCGTTTAGACCAACCAACCGTCGGGGATGCAGATGAATGTACAACAGTTATCCTGTCACATCCCTCCGAAAGCGCCACTTCGAATGGAACAAGGCATGATAATTTAGGGTTCGGTCTATAATGGTAGCAGAGGTGCTAAATAGTTGAGAAATTGCGGAAAAGCGCAGTGAAACGGTGAAACTCGCAAAAAGACATTTGTTTTACATGATTCAGAATGCAATTTCGGACGTCTCTTGGCATCGTGCCAACAACCGCTACGCTCGATACGGCTACATGTACGCATCCACATATCCATGCAGCATCGCAGCCGTTCATATCAATCGCTTCGCTTGATATTGTAATTCGCTAATGAAGCGTGCGAGCATCAGCATCGGACGACGTCTGCGGAGGGAGCGGATGCAGTGGGCGTCCGAGTCGGTTCGTTGTGGCTTGATAGGGGGCCATAAACGTAGCTCTTTTGGAAAAGAGGCCACGCCGCACCTGCTCAGGGGCGCCAAATGCTGTCTTGCTAGGGCATATATCCTGCGCT